GAGACAGACTGAGAAGCAGGAAGGGAGAGATAACCTTCTAGGTCACACCCCAGGGACCCACCTCTTCCAACCTGGCCCCGCCTCCTGACATCAAATTTGTCTATAACACCCCCACGACTCAATCACCTTTCAAAAGGCCTGCCTATGAGTGCAAGAGGTCCTTGGGGGACACTTAGATATATAAGCAATAACAAGCGCAAATGCCTCATCCAAATGGAAGCCCTCAGAACACTGCCGGGCTTGGCCACTTCTCTTCCTTCTGCCACAACACAGCAGAATGTCCCAGACTGGCTACTCAGGCATTCAGACTGCATATTGGAGTGAACAAGACACAGAGTGGAGATGTCACCCATGCACAATGATCAAGAAGTAAATCTTTACTGTGACAAGTTGCTGGGCTCTGGGAGTGTGGAGATCCACTCAAACCCCAGAATGGAAATGAAGCTATTTAGAGCTGTATGCATTTGAGTTTTAACACATGTAAAAACAAATCTCAGAACTTCCCTTATCTGACTAAAAGTAGCAGCTTCTGGGGAATATGACTGCCATAAATTCTGCTTCAGGATGGGCCCACTTCAGGAAGGCAGAACATGAATGTGCCAGCCCCAGATCCTCTCTCTCGGGAAGCTTTAGGGTACTGAGGAGAACCTAAAACCATTCTTACCTATAGAGGCAAAGATTATCACAATCTTCATTTTTTTAAGGTCTTGGTGATCAAAACAGCCTCACACATGCCAGGCAATTGCTCTACCACTGAGTGACACCCCCAGCCCTGTTAATACAAATTTTATCTGCTATTTGTTCTTCCGAAAACCCATTCTTATTGTTTGCTGTTTTCCATAAAGCCTTTCTTCCCCTCTCCTCCATCTACTAAGATGGTATATAAGCCCCAGATTGTACCACTCCTTTTTTGTTTTGTTTTGTTTTGTTTTGTTGTTTTTTGTTTTTCTTCTGGTACCAGGAATTGAACTCATGACCTTGAGCTTGCCAGGCAGGCACTTTGCCGCTAAGCTAAATCCCCAGCCCCTTCCTTTTCTTAATCATGGTGGGAATCGAACCCCAGGCCTCACACATGCTCAGCAAGTGCTCTACCACTGAGCTATTCCCCAGCCCCAGCCACTTCTTGAACTGTTGAGATGTCACTTTGCATAGGTGCTTTGCCTGAATAAATTGTCACTTTTGTTTTCTTTTGCTTGTCTGTCTTTGTCATTTAATTTACAGGCCCTAGGCAAAGAACATAAGACAATAGAGAAAAAGCTTTCTCTGCCTTACAGAGGCCATTTGTTACCACAGCAAAACTGACACAGGGAGGCAGGCTTGAATTTCTGTTCATGTCAGTGCCATTTGCTTGCCTAGAGAAGCCTCTATTCTGGAAGAACCAAGGGTCAAATGTTCCTTTACAAGCTTATAAATTAAATATGATTGATCTTTTGTCCTTGAACAAACTATGTGGTCTATCAGTATTAAGTCACATCAACACAACTTCTTTTCAGAAATATAAATTATACATATTGCGGTAAGAAAAGACATTGGCTATATATCATATTGCCATGAGAAGTTCCTTGGTTTACAAATCATTGTTCCTTCCAGTTTTATTGCTTCTATATAAAGAATACACAAGGAAGTGCCCTTTGGATGTGCCTGAGGTCCTTGTTTAGAATTATGACTGAGCATCCTCTGACCTGTCATCACTGCCAGGAGTACCCCCGGAGGGCTCTGAGTCCTTCACCTCTCTGTAGCTTGCACCATACCTTCTCCACTGAATGTGACTGTGGGTCACAGGCAGCCCTGCTGTCACTGCCCGTAGATCACATAAGCAGCATCCAGAAATGCTCAGACATTTGGAGAAGTCACTGTAGACCAAAGCACTCAAAATTCTAGGGATGTTGCCTACGTTTTGTTGAACCAACTATTGGACAGAAAACAAAAGGCAAAAGACACTACTTGCTATGGCAGTGTTTGTGTCCTCCCCAAATTTGTGTTGTAGCCTGTCTTGACCACTTTTGGGTTGCTGAGACACAATACCTGACACCTACAACTTAAAGGGGGAGAGGTATTTTTGGCTCACTTTTCAGTCAGCTGGCTCCAAGGTAGGATGGGACCGCAGAGGAGGGTTGCTCACAGCATGAGGGATAGGAAGCAGAGGGAGAAGAGAGGAGCTGAGGAGGGAGACACACCCCCCCAGGCCACTCCCCCAATGACCCACCTCTTCCAACCAGATGCCATCTCCTAGCAAGTCAGCTCTAAGCCCCATAATCCAATCACCTTTCAACAGCCTCGTCTATGAGTGCAGGCAGTTCATGGGGACATGGAGACATAACCCATAACAAAGCCTAATCAGCAATGTGACGTAACAGGAGGTGGGCATTGGGAGGTGTTTACATCATGAGGGCAGAGTCCCCACATATGAGATTGGCACTTTATAAAAGAGGCCATGTCATTTGCACCATGAGAGAGCTGCCGTGTCCCTTCCACCACAGGAGGACACAGCCTCTACCTCTGACCGAGCAACAGCTCTTTATCAGACACTGATCTTCCAGCCTGCAGAATCATGAGAAATAAATTTCTGTTGTTTACAAACCATCTTATTTATTGCTGTTTTTTATAGCAGCCCAAATGGATTACAACACTATCATGGTAACTGGTCACTACCTAGGGCTGTGCAAAAATTGAGTCTCATTGAGCGAAGATTTCTTATATTTCCTCCTAATTTACATGTAATTTGAATTTGTCCAGACAGATAGAAGGGAGGAGGACAGAGAGAGATTGAGAAAGAGAGAGTGAGAGACTAAGAGACTAAAACTAAGTTGGCAAGTGTTTAAAACAACTAAGTAAACCAAGCATTGTGGTACACACCTGTAATCTCAGCATTTAAGAGGCTGAGGCAAGGAGGATCACCACAACTTCAAAAGCAGCCTGGACTACATAGAGTAGTGAGTTCAAAACTAGCCTAAATTACATAGTGAGCCCCTATCTCAAAAAACAAACAAATGAGTAAATTGATTAGTTTGTTGGATCTCAGTTTCTTCACTATGATATGGGATTAATAATTCCTATCTTATAGAACAGTGTCTTAGTAGGGGCCTCTAATAACAATACCCTTTGTCCACAAAACAAGTACCTTTGTTTGTAGAGAGACTTTTCTTCTGTGGTTAACAAAGCTATCCTCAAAGTATCTGAAGTCTCTAGGTAGGAAGTTTGCTGTTGCAACTCAATTACAATACTGCTCTTGGGTTTGGGCAGTAATGTTGTTTTAAATGTAAATATGTGGTTGGTTTTTAGCTGGGATCCTTTTTTGCCTGGGTGTCTCTATTCCATAGTTGCCTGTCTGTTCTGTCTGGATTTGTATCTCAGCCAAGCTGCCTCTCATACTACTTAACATGTTCAGGGCCCAATTGCCTGGCCCCTAACTAGGCAGGTCCCCAGGTCCCAAAGACATCTGGGCTGGGCAGCCTATGAGTTTCCTGCGGTCCACATTGAAACTGCTGAGAGCCAGTGTCCATCCAATGACTGGAGGGGGACAGACGTAGGCTCCCCAGGATCTTCCATCTCTCTCTGCAATCCATGCAGACTAACAACCTTCTTTGGCTAGGGATGATTTCCCCCTACTGAGTTTTGGAAGGCTAAATGCTAACTTATAGGGAAAAGAACCCGGTTCTAATTTCACTTTGGAACACGAAATGTATTCTTTACCTCAGATTAATGCATATAAATTGGGAAAACACCTGATGCTGGTCTCAATTAGTGTTAGTTTTCTTTCTCTCTGGGTCCCCACTGGTCTGTGTTCAAGCACTTAGGATGCTGTACAATAGTATTTAGAATATACAGTATATTTTCTGTATTAGCCAGTGAGTCCCTCTCTCATATGACAGGTGCTCAATAAATGTTTATTTTGGATGCATAGATGGGAGGTATGTGTGATGGTGAATCTTCATTCTCAACTTGATTGGATTGAGATATATCTGGAAATTAGTAAACCACACTTCTGGGTGTGACTGAGTGGATCATGGGGAAGTGACCTTGGGAAATACATGTGGTTCCTGGCCCCTTTTTCTCTGGGCTTTTCCCCTGTCCTCTATTTTGCAGTTACCAGGAAGTGAGCAACTTTCTTCCATTCTGGCATTTTGCCATGCAGTTTCTGCCTTTGAGTTAGCCAACCATGAACTGAAACTTCTAAAACCACAAGCTAAAATAAACTTCCTTTCCTTTAACTTCAGGGGTTAAGTATTTTGTCCCTCAAAAGAAAAGCTGACCAATACAGAAAATTGGTACCAGGAGTGGGGTATTTTCTATTTTAGTCACTTTTTCATTGCTGGGACAGTGTACTTGACATACACAATTTGAAGAAGAAATGGTTTATTTTGTCTCATGATTTTAGACATTTTAGGTCATGATCAACCTGTTCCAAGGCAGAAACATCATAACAGAAGGCGTGGAGGAGGACAGCTTCTCAACACATGGCAGCGAGAAAACAGAGAGAGAGGAAGGAGCTAGGGACAAAAGTACACCCTTCCAGGTCACAGCCTCAGTAGGCACCTTCAACTGGGCCCCATCTCTCAACAACACATTCAGCTATGAACTTATCACCAAGTAATCCACTGATGAGGATAGCTCCCCCATGATCCAATCAACTCCTAAAAGCCCCATCTCTGAATACATGAGACTTGGACATTTTAGATCTAAACCATAACAGTGTGTGGATGTTGGGTCAGTGAATAGGAGAGTAGGTAGGATGGATGGTCAGAATATTTTCTGATCCTTTATTTCTCTGCATAGCTACCCCACCCTGTGATTTCTATGTGATTTCATAACACAGCATAAGATCTGTGTTATGAGCTGGATGTTTGCTGTCCAGTCCAAATCCATTCATTGAAGACCTGACTCCAGTGTGATATTCAGGCCTAAATGAGGGTGGAAGCCTATGGATGGAAGCCACAGGACAGGATTTTAGTCCTAAGAAGAGAAGGAGTCACCAGAGTGTCTCTTCTCTCTATTTGCAGGCACCAAAAGGGGACATGAGAGCCTGCAGCAAGAAGGCTACCATCTGCAAGCCAGAAAAGAGCTCTCCTCATGAGCCAGATCTTCCAGCCTCTTGATCTGGGACTTCCCAGCCTCCAGGGCCATGAGAAGGAAGTGTCTGTTGCTGAAGCCCCTGTTCAATGGCATTCTGTGACAACAGCCTAGGCTGAGACAACCTGTTCCTGCCTCTGAGTCCACATCTGCTCCAGCCCTAAAGGTGCATGTGTTTGCCAGTGTCCTCTCTGCTGTCCCTCTATATGTCTTCCCCAGTGTCTGGACGTGATTTCACTGAAAGAACCTTGATTCATTCTGCGATTCTGTGCATGCATGAGGACAGGTATTTTGTGATCCTTTATTGTGTTTTTCAACTGAGTTTTTCAACACTTTCTTAACAGAACTGAAAGTAGGCATCTGTGTTTATAGTAAACTCAAAACAAAAAATGTATTTATAACAAAACAGTGACTTATCAAGCTGAAGAGAGGACCTCTTCCCCTACAGCTGAAATTTCTCATTTATTACTTAAGAAAGTAAGCGCTATGCCTGTTTTCTTGGGAGTGTTCCTGGCACTCTCACTTGGGCACTCCCAAGTTTTAGATTCTGTGCTTACAGTGTGAATGGACGTATATTTCTACAGTATTGTTTAGAAAGAAAAGGCAACCTGGGACCGTCTCCCAAGTTGAAGGACCTCATATTTCTTCTCTGTCCTCATCGCCACACAAAAGCCCAGAGCGTTCCAGAGATGGGCAACGACAGGTGGGTAGAGGCAGGGAGAAGAGACAAGGAAGCTTAAGGATAATACTAGGAGATCCCAATAGAGATCTGAAGCCTTGGTCTGTACAAACTCATCACCCCCGACCCCTGGGGTGTGACTGCACTCTGCCTCCAGGCTTTTCTGGGAGAACCTCTGGGCCAGTGGTTCCCAACATTTTTGGTACAGGGAACTGGTTTTTCCAAGGATAGGGGAAAGGGGATCTGAGATAATTCAGGTGCATCAAATTTGTTGTGCACTTTATTTCTATTATTATTACAGTCTCATAAGGCACACACCACCTAGATCCCTAGCATGTGCAGGTCACAGGAGGGTTCTCGCTCCTATGAGAATCTAGTGCTGCTGATCTGACAGAAGACAGAGCTCAGGCGGTGAGGCCAGCTATGGGGAGCAGCTGTAAATACAGATGAGGCTTCTCCTGCTGCTCCTGTTGTGCAGCCCAGCTCCTAACAGGCCATGGACTGGCACTAGTTAGGGAGCTATAGTGCTGGCACCAGTTAGGGAGCCATAGTGCAGGCTGTATACCTTTGCTTATTCACAAGAATGAAAGCAAAAGCAGAAGTGGAGCACTATTACCCCAGCCAGCTTTGTGGAGTTTTTCCTCTTTGCTAGGCAGCGTAATAAGAAGACCCTTCTGACCATTCTTTCTTTCCTCCTCTGTCAAGATTCTCTTATCCTGGCTCTTATCCACTCATTGGCACTGTTACAACTGAACTGGTCAGTAAAATACAGAAATGCCTGATAACAAGGTGACGCCCAGACCCAACAAGTACCCCACCTGCACACTGCTCTGGTCCCAGCCAGGGCATCCTGGGCTGCCCAGCCTGCAATAACTCCTAGAGCATTTGTAAGATCCCCAAACAGACTAGGCCAGACCTGGAAAGGGAGATGTCACTCTGGGTGCCTGTGGGGAGAGGGGAGAAGCCCCGTGCCCACCTGGATCTCTCGGGGGATGTTCTGCTCCTGTCGGGCTCCCTCTATAATGACTGGAGCTGCTTGTTGGAAAGCCACAGCGGGGAGTACAGGTTACTCAGTATTTTGAATGTACCTCTGCCTTTTTCTTTCCTTTTCCTATTTTTCTATTTGTATCAAACTTGACCAGACTAGAGCAAAACATCCGTTAAACAATATCTTTTATACAATCTCACCAGACATCAAATATTTCTACTTTCAGCTGTTGTCTTGAAGACCTTGCTGGTGTGTACCTATAATTAGTACATAGCCATAATCACAAAGTTCATTTTTTTTATCTTGCTCCTTTTGTGTAGCATTGTGTCACAGGCTTTTCTGAAATTGTGCCGCAGGTGCCTAAATTATTATAGAAATGAGTTTTCTATCCCAAATTGGTGAGATCTGATAAATACGGAATCTGATCTCATAGGTTCCCCAAGAGGCGTAAGATAAGTGGACAAGGTTGTCCTAGTGGGCTGGATTCATAGCCCTGAGGGGAGGGTCTGGTAGAGCCTCATAGCAGTAATCACAGCACTGTCTGGCTGCTTTTACTGGTTCATTACTGCTTTTACTGCTCTTTGCTTGGGGAAACTCAATCCTCAGGATGCTCTGAAGCCTTCTGCAGAACTACCAAGACTGTAATAAAAATAAAAGTAGGGCAGCGAGAACAGATTGTTAGTTTTGAAAACATAGCCTGTCCACTAAGTGCTGGGGATATCACTGATTTCTCAGAAATGCCACTTTATGATCTGAGCGTGACCCCTGTGTTTATTTAGGAGAACAGTTTTTAAAATTGGGTCACGTCTTCTTATGCCCTAAATGAATTGTTTTTACTCTTCACTGTGTTTTCTTTCAAGTTGGAAAAGTAATCAAGAAAAATAAAGAAGGGGCTGGAAAACAATAAGAACTCGCTCCATTCTCCTGTTGCTAAGCATTTTTTTTTTTTTTAATTTTGTAGAACACAGCATTATGCCGTGATTAGCTCGCCAGAGGCAATTTAGCAACAGGATTTACCTAATAGAGCAGTTTTGGCTTGATCTAATTTTAGGTAATTACCTCCCTCTTTAGAGCATATTTCTCCTGGCTCTAGTTTGTCACGAAGAATGTTTACCCCCAGGATCTGGTCCTCCTAAGGCCAGCGAAAGAACAGCTCGATTTCCTTCCTCAAATACAAGCATAAAATCTATCAATGTGTAAAATAGGGAATTTGACACCAGTTGTAAAAATCTACCCACAAACAGGTGGAGAACGCATAAAAACCCAAGCACAAAGCCCAAGTCAATAAGAGATTTCATAAAAGGCAGCAGTCTAATGCCGTGACAGCTGGGTGTCTAATCTGAGTCATTACCCAAATAGGACGACCCGGCTCACCTAGACCAGCATATTGCTATGCTTTCCTGAAACTGGGTTTGCAACACCTCGGGAAAGTTAATTCCTAGAAATAAAGAGAAGAATTCTGCCAGCTCCTCAGCGATTTTGTACAGCTTTTGGATAAACAACTTTTTCTTCCAGACCTTTCAATCTTTTTGTCTGAGCAAATTTGAAATGCTTTGATTCAAATAAAGAAGCTCATTTTCAAACATCCATTGCAGGGGAGAGACAATACATCTTTTTTTTCAGGACTTCCTTTGTGCCAGGTGCTGATGGTCTCTTTGGGGTGCTGTCTCACGGAAAGTGACCAAGCCACAGCTGAGCAGTGTCCCTGGGCTCTCAGAGCACACAGTCACTTATGTTCTTTCTCCAGCCCTTCCCTCAGCTACCTCCTGCCTCAACGGTCCACTTCTGTTGTTTGGGGCCAAAGAATCGGTACCTCCCTGCGACCGCTCTGTCTGACATCTCCACTCTCCAGCCCTCCTACCACACACTTGCGGGGGCGCTGCTCGCACTGTTTTCTCTCAGCTGTGACTGGCACCCTTGGCATTGCCCAAGTCGTGACCTCTCCTGCCCATCCATTCCACACACGCCTGCCAGAGTCACCTTTTGAAAGAACATACACGAACGTATTTCTTCCACGGAAAAGCTTTAATGGCTCTCCGTTACAATAAGTCAACCCAAACCTGCTTGGAGACACTGTCGCCCGCCTCTGCACAGTGTCCTTGGCATTACCGTCCACCCTAGGGGCAGCTCTTTCACTCCATCTCACGCCCAGGGCTGGGCCCATGCGACAGGCCTTACTGGAACTCGTCCTGCCTTCTTGTCCCGGTAGGCTGGGCCAGCGTGGGAATCCCTGCCCCTTCGCCTCAGCACCTCACCAGCCAAGACTCTAACCATTCCAAAGGTGGCGACAGTCTACTGTCACTGACTTCTACACCTACCTGGGCAGACAGTGCCACTCCTTCTCCGGGGCCGGTTGTACTTTGTGCCCTGATGGTCATATTTCCCACTTCCTGTCTCTCACAATAGCCTTATTCAAAGGTCTCACGCCCTGTGTTCTTGCACGAATTCCCTAAGGACATGACACAGTGATGATGCTCGGTGTCGTGTCCCCTGCAGAGTACCTTACGCAACTCAGGTTTTCCATTCAGCAGAAGGGAAACCTTTAAAATTGAGTGGAAAGCATTTGGGAATCTGGAAAGAAATAATCTGGGAGCCAGGCGTGGTGGTGCATGCCTGTACTCTCAGCATGCAGGAGGCTGAGGCAGGAGGATTGCCATGAGTTTGAGGCCAGCTTGGGCTACATAGTGAGCTCAAGGCCAGCCCACACCACATATTGAGACCCTGTCTCAATAAACCAAAACCAAAACCAAAGCCAAATAAAAAACCCAATCTGGGGAATCCTGGGAAATAGTTCTTTTGTGCTGAATTTGTCACCTTATGTTTCCCCCGGTGCAAGACTCTCTTGGGGTCCTGCGCCCACTCTTCTCCTGAAAGATCAGGGCCCCTGTGTTTGGTGTGGTTTGGGTTTTTGTGCCAATGCAGCTAGCAAGAAACAGCCTCAATCTTCCAATAAACTCCTTTCACATATGAGAGAGATGAGTACAAAGAACCTAGACCAAAAAAATGAATGAATGGGTTAAGCTGGGCACAGTGGCAGACACCAGTGGTACAAGCTACTTGGGAGGCTGAGGCAGGAGGATTAATTGAACCCAGAAGTTTGGGACCAGCATGGTCAACACCGTGAGACCTCAACTCAAATAAATAAATAAATAAATAATGAATCAATGGATTAAAGGGAGAAATCTTTCTCTAAAGATAGAGGTTTTCCTTCCAACAGAGAATGACCCATCACCATTGTTGGAAGGCTATTTTCTGAGAGGCACTGAATATACAGGTAATCTTAGTAATGTATTTGACAATAACATCTTGAATTTTAATAAAGGGAAGTAGATAATTACGGATACAAAAGCAGGGTCACATGAATTTTTATATTTTCTTTTTCTTATTAAAACATGTCAGACTGTACCCAGAATAAAACTAAGAATAGAATGTAAAGGCATTATGAAGAACCCTGAAGTTCATCCTTGGGAAATGTGCACACTGAGAAGTGGGCTATATTTAAGAACAATGGCGTTTTATTTTAGTGACTTGTTCCCTCCCTG